GCCGCCTTCGCGACGAATCTGATCACACATCTGGCCGTTTCCACATTTCTGCTCGTCTACTCACTTTGGTACGCCTTCATCCCTTTGGCAATAACCTTAGTGTCACATGTGGTTGGACTCCGTGGCCGTTCGATGGCACTCTTTTCGACTGTTCACCATCTTCATGATCTATGAGGTACCGTCTGCACACTTTCTTATCTAATTAAAGAAGTAGGCGTGGTGCTGCAGGGGGGGGGGAGTGGGGGTTTAACCTATAGACTGGCCCACACGCACTGATGGAGTATTCCACACTGGCGCATACTGATTTTCGAGGAGAAACGTCGAGTGTAGGCAGTAATAGGTTGCCCCCCCCCCATTACCCAACACGGCCCCGTCCCAACCGTGTTGTTCATACTCGAATCAACACCATGCGAGTTAGGAACACCAGATGATTGGACTGTTGTCTAGAATCCTGCGATGTTTTCATTGCTTCCTGATATTTGTTTGATCAGAAAAGCTGATTCAGGGCTTCTCCGTGTTGGCGCTGACAGCTCTGGACGTATGGCTGCTGATCGTCATGGAAATCAAACCGACACTCAGCTTTTTCGGCAGAAAATGCCGTGATTTGAACAAGAAAACTGGTGCTTGTGATGGAGGTGGGCTTCTTAATAGCACTCCACGTTTCACGTATCGAACATCGCGGAGAAAGGAGGGCGTGGTTGTGAACTTCATTCGAACGGCTGTAGGACTCGTTGTTTGCTGGACGTTTCCGTTTAAAAGTACATAGTTGGCACGATGAATCCCTAAGACGAGTAGGATTGATACGTTTGGCAGGACGGAATTCGCGCCCTGAGCAGGCGCTGCGTAGCGCCTTTTCCAAGAAAGTGTCCTTATAAGGCCCTATCAAGCTGCAATATACCGACACGGATGCCCACAAATGGGATGCTCCTATTCTTCAGTGCGAAGTAAAATGGGAAGCGAAGCAATATGAAGCGGTAGCGATGCTGCGTGGAATGAGCATGTATAGTTTGTAACATTTCAATTTGTCGGAGGCGGCGAGCGCAGCGGGCACGAGCTCACGTCCTGCTCTACCAGTGGTGATCGAACAATGAGATGTAGGAAGCAATCAGCCACTGGTGGGAAGGCCATAGGTGGGAACCGCTGACTGCGCAGGTGGCAGTGACATAAACTGTACATATGTACCCTCCCTATCCCTGAGCCAGAGTAGGCGTGGCATTTGAACATGGCACGGAATTGGTTACTCGTGGAATATTCCAGTCTGGGACAACTGTCATCTTGTTCTGTGTTGGACAGAGACACGACAACAATTGTGTCAAGATGAAAATATCTCACCAGAAGCATAGACACCTCCAGGTTAAGTTGAAAAATGCGGCCACGCCTACCCGATCTCAGGGATTTCGAGAATACATACGTGCAGCCATACCTACCATAGCGGTGATTGGCAAGATGCCTAAGGGAAACTCGTCTGAAATTAATGTTTGAGTCATTAAGAATGAATTTTTTCGCCATCGACTACATAGCACCCTGCTAGCATCTTAGACCATGTACCAAACTATCGTGCCAAGTGCCTTTAAGACAACTGTCATCGTTTCTTGTAATGGAGAAAGACATGATAACAAAATGGCAGTTTTCCACCAGAAGCGCCACTGCAACGCTCAAATGAAGTACGCAGCCACGCCCTCTCCATCAGGCCATGGAGTATAATTAGTGTGCGCCGTGCCCCTTCAGTCCCTGCATAATTTCTTAACAGGTTTTTTTTAACTGTTTCATTTTTAGAGGTAAGAAAGAACGCAGCGATTGCTGGCGCAGTCATTACTTCCATCGTTGTGTTGAATATTTTGGTGCTGTGGCCCACATTTAGGAATTTCTTCCATTATCTCCGAGCAACCTCAAAACCGTGAGTTTTGACCTTTCAAACGAACACTTTTAACAACAGCTCAGAATCTAGGGATGCGCTGGGATATTGGCAATGGATGGGTTTTACATCACTTCCCCGAAATTACACAAGTATTGCTGCTGCATTAATAACACCTCTAATGCTCAGATGAAGGCTAATAGTTATAATCCTCGTTCGATGAAGATGAGCGGCGAGACTGGGGAGCGAACGGGAAGGGTGTGGTGGGTCGACCCAAGTAGCTGCGTTGCGAAGCATACGCCACTGAAAATGCCACCGAATGTGTAGCGTTTGCACCAGAACCTAGTTGATTTGGCGCAAAAGTGCTACAATAGGCTGAGGCAACTAGCTGGGACATCCTGCTTATGCTGAGCTAGTTTCTGCACGTCCCAGCAGAGAAACACACTCCATGCCCGGTTGCCGAGTATAACTGCAGTTAAGCGGGTAGCACTGAATGAGGCAGAAATCCTCCGATTGGAACGCAAGGCACCAAGGAGTCTGTGTTCTCAATACTTTTGATGCTTATAAAGGTCCGCAATTGCCTCGTCGCAGTACCTATTGTCGTCCGACCTATTCTTAGCACACGGCATCTTCAACCTACGTGGTCAAGTTTCCCTTTCTCGTTTTTCAGCTCTTATTTCTGCCGAAACTTTCTTGATTCCTTTCATTTCTTTCAGTGCTTCCAATCTTTTCTTTAGGAATCCGACCCCTGCGAGAACGAGAACAGTAGTTGAAGCTGCTCAGGTGACCACACGTGCGGTGCCTTCTGCTCCGAGCGCATCAGAGTCGATGAGGAGGCCGACATCTCCGGAACATGCTTCTACAAGACCTCATCCTCAACTTTACACCATCTATTCACCCGCAGCGGAACCGGCACATCGCACTGAACTCAGCCCTTCGGTTGTGCCCGGCCCATCAGGAAACCTTTACCCCAATCAAGAGATACTGAAAGTGAACCCAAACGACTATCAACAAGAGTCTAAAGGAGCACTACAGCAGTTTGAACCTCCTCCGCCATATGTGTAGTCGAAAGGGGTGCATTAATTGATTATAAAAAGGGATACAGTGACCACAAAGAGTGTGGGTTTAAGATGCGGGTTGAAAACCTACAGTATTTGATGTTTGATTCGTCTGCTTTCTGTACATAAATACAATGTGCGTTCTGTAATTATAACTTTATCGTCACTGGGGGGAATTTTCTCCCACAAATCGTCAATTCACTTGTTATCCCCTAAACTGTGAACTCGATATCGAAATATTCTGTAAATATGATGGCGCAGCAATACGTTACCTGCTGGTAGATGACGTACCATCGACGTCACATAACACGGAAATGACATGATTTGATATGACATTGACAATTATGCACCATGGGTTTTATCGTCCTTAAAGTGCTATGTGACATAATTTTTCAATTCTAACAGATAGCGGCGGACCTCTGCTACACCCGCTTTTGATAGTATTTGTTGTCTCAAAAAAGCAACCCTGTGTGTGCATGAACTCATTTCTCTTCTTAATGAACTAATAAGTTCTAATAATGTTGTTGCATAAATTGTATTGAAATGTAAAAAAGATTTTTTTACGTGACAGCCTACATAGCAGTTAACAGTGCAGGACATGGAGTGTGTGGGTCCGTCTCAAGTTATGCTTGTGAGATAACCCCTTCGTACCGAAAACTGAGCAACGAATTTCGTGCTCTCGGATTCATTGCCAAACTCTAGGCATTTTATGGGCCAGAAGAGATTGCCTGGAACATTCCATAATCTCGTCGTTCCATAAACCCCTCTGTTCTTCTTGAATTTTTCCTTCAAGTCTGAGACATTGGTAGAAGCAAATGGTTAGAGTGGTCCGCACAGACAGTACAGCGAGTCTCAAGGCGAACGTTAATTCTTACAGCTGTATACTCATGCACGACGCCGTACGGGTCCAATCGAACTGTTTCTACCTGGCCTTCTCACCAGTGGTGATTCCTTCCTACATCGATCATTGTCCAATTACACTGGTAGCTGCGAACAGGGCACAGCATTCGATGGGGATTTTGGTCGAGCCTGTACGACCCCCCCCTTTTTGGGGGGTTCGGTACGACCCCCCCTTTTTTTTTGGTTTGGTTTTTTTCACACAAAAACACAAGCTTCAGACTTCAGCTTCATTGTAAAACAAAACCAACTATATACATGGGAAAAAAAACTAAAAACCACTATACAAAACCACTATATACAAAAACTACTAAATCAAAAAACAACTTCAGTGAATAGGACATAACGAAAAATAAACAAGAGGATCCCACCCTCCCTACCCGTTCCGCCACCGCCAACGAAGCCCTCCCTCCCGCCCGCAACGAAGCCATTCTCACCCCAAGCAAACTCGACATATCATGGAAAAATGCCACAGTGCCGTATAGTGTTACCGGTGTTGGCTAGCTAAGTATAGACTGAGATGAAAGGTACATAGATCATGTAAGAAAACTAACCGAAAGCTACAGTAGCTACGATGACATTATACTTGCCGCTAACCCATTTCTCATGAACAGCTGTCCGTCGGGACGAGTCCATATCGGCATGGTAGAATGCTGCACGTATACCGGCTCCTCTAGAAAGGCATATCATGTACACTTGGCAGAAAATCAGACCACAGAGGCTCACACTAATAATCTGATCTGGCAATATTCCGAATACGACCACTCGTCGAAGGTTCAAGCACTCTTCAGTTTGGAATATTGCAAAGAAAGAAAAGAAAGTACCAACCGAAGCTGTGCTGCAACTTCTTCACAGTCCTTTCTTGAGAAACAGTATACAATACCCGATTGATTGGCAAACCTAGGAAAGTTTAGCTCCTCGCAATCACACAAACGTCAGAGTTATTGGATAAATTATAATACCTGGTTTTTATCAGTCGGGCGAGTTCAGCAGTGACATCGCCGTCTGGCTTTTGAACCACTTCGATTAGTGTAAATTAAGACGATTGAAACCGGCTTTGAAGACCACAGCATCTGGAATGGAAGAACTGAACAACTGACAAGTACCCAGAGCTAGCCGTTCATAACTTTTTCCTAGTTTTAGTGAGCGTTCAGGAATAGCTTCGAGTTGTTATTTATTGTTCCCTACGTGAATCTGAAAAAAATCGAGAGGAAATAAACACAACTCAAAGCTATTTCTGAACGCTCAGTAAAACTAGGAAAACTTATGAGCGCAAAGGAAGGAAAAAGGAGAAAAAAAAACAAACAGGAACAATAAACATGAACGATAAATAAATGGCATGTTGCCTAATCAAACTCGAAGAATCTCCAACGATTTGTTAAAACAAATGCAAATCCAGTTGTTGTGCGCAGGACCCCAGTGCACTTGATTTGAGGGGCAGAATTTCCGCAGAAATCGTACGGTAGCAGAGTTGGGTATGAATTGCAGCTTTGACTGGAGCAAACGGCTATTAGCCATGGAGCGAGAATTTTCAGCAAAGTAGGGTGTCTTTGAAGGACCATAACTTCCTCAAAAGCGGACCTGTGGGGAAGAGGAGAGCGTATTGGTAAATTAGAAGGTTTGATCTTCCTGAAAGTACTAAAATGTTCATGAAGGTCGCGAAAATCACAGAGAAATCTGCCATAGGGATTCGTTGGGGAGTGAAGGGTTGAAGTTTCAAGTTGAACAGGTTTGAATCAATATATTTTTTTGTAACTCAACATTTCACAAATCTGAGAACGGATCCGAGCTTCTCAAGATTTTCTCTTTCTAAAAACCTATTGAACTGTTCCTGAAGCTCTCGGGATTCATGAGATCTCGCGATGGGGATTTCTTAGGGAGCACTCCCAGCCGCGCGAAAAACCCGTTTCCTGTGCACCGTTTCAAGTGAGCGTGTTCGAATAGCCAGGAACGCATGTAGAACGTATCCTTGTGGTGGAGCAGGAGCAGGATAGTGTTCGTTTTAGCGCCCGATCTACGCTGACTTTGGTATGCGCCGCGCACTGAGGTCCGCGCAGAAGTGATGGGATGGTGCAACTTGTGCATAATGTGTGTCCACGCGCGCAAATGTGTCTGTAGGATTCAGGGAGGTCCATGGCGAACCTGTGCACTTGTCTACAGTGTTTTCCCTTGCGGATGATGTAGCGTGTCCGTGTCGACGCCGCCAGATCTGTGCTCCGATAGTTGCTGATTCCGATAAAGGAGACCAAGTGCTGGAAAACGTCTGGTACGAACGATATGGTAGTCCTGTCGTTTGTCAGAAAAAAACAGGTTGGCTCAGCGCCAAGCGTGATCGCGGACACGCCCCATCATCCGCAGCAAACCAGAGTATGAGTTGTAGTGTTTAATCACTTACGAGATGTTGTCGACTTATTAATAATTCCAATTATTTCGGATTAGTTTGATGGATGAAAGTTTTGTACTCATTTTTACATATCCGAGTTCTCTACGAAGCAAGTTCCGCTACACAGGATTCAGCACACTGACACCTTTGCGCTGCTCGATACTGGCTACCGCACTCATTACGACCCCCCCCCCTCTCCTGGCGGCCAAATACGACCCCCCCCCTATGGGGATTCCCCAACCAATGCTGTGCCCTGTCCATCGAGGCCGGTCGACGCGAGCGGCTCGCCGCTCCTTACAATTACAATGTTACACTAATAGCTGTTATGCAACAGAAACAACCTTTTTGTGACCGATAATACAATTCCTGAAATCATACAATCATATAAGCCCTATCTGTCAAGCCGTCAGGGTATAGCATGAGATGTGCGAAATGGCGGTGTGAGTATGCGACCCCCCGGTTCTCCTCGAACAGGGACCTATTCGACGCCGCCCCCCCCTCTCCTGCTCTAACTGAGAAACAGATGCATGTTCACACCAAATGGCTTCTTGAAATGGAAAATGGCTCTTCGGAAGGCGGACTCTGCTCTAAATCACAGACATTAATAGGTACAGTTGACAACGGCCGGCCCTCCTGCTCTCCCCCTGAAAACATATGCATGTTCACTCACAGATGCTACTGAAGTGAATCTGGTTTTGAAGGCGGACTATGCCTTAAACCTAGGCAGTGAGAGGCGTTTCAGCTTCAATAGCAATAGTGCTTGAAAAACCAGCCTTGCATTACCTACAATTTTGTCTTAGGATTCAAAATAAAACTCCTCGTTCGATAACCATGTATGACATGCAACTTGTAAGAAGGAACACAATCGAAACAGCGACTAATGGTGATCATTGATAGGCTGAATTGGTGAAAAAAAAGCCGCCAAGGTGAGTGGTGTCGCCAGATGCGCATTCAAAGTGAGTGGTGACCGGAGACATCATAAACCCTAAACCGACAGCAACAAAGCGAAACATGAAAAATACAAAAAAATGGCGGAGTCCAAATGAGAGAAAAAAAATGGATAACCAGGTGGCAGTTCCAAGTATAGAACTATCGTTCTATACTAGGCTATTATCGATCGCAACGTTCCGACCGCTTTCATTGGAAAAACGTTATTGGAGCGCGGTTGTTGGGCCTGCCAACGTCCCGGGGTCTTTTCGGGGGTTATATCTCTTTGAGGGGCGCGGCTTTGATGAATGGTTAGCAGCATGCAACGGGAACTGTTGCGTTTTCTACCCAGTTGCAATCTGAATGTTTCCCCGTTCGTGAAATATTTCGGATGGTTTTCGGATCGGCCTAGGGGTAAATGACAAGCGGTTACTTATTCAAACGCACTTTTAATCAAAGAATTGAAATCGTCTGGACCTGCGCCCTAATGTTTCTCTTTTCCAATAAGCGTCCACAGTTTTCCTGAAGACCCGGCTAGTTTCAGGAGACTATTTTGATGGGTCAGCAGACGCGCTAACCCCTCTGGACGCCGCCTCTGTACCCTTCAAAATCAGAATATTTCTGCCTTCATTAATGAGTGAAGGAGGAGCTTGGCTATCACTGATTTGGTCCGAGTGTACGCCGTGCATTACGCTCCTACGCAGAATTGGTGGAAGGGTGTAAATCTAATTTCAGGTGCTTTATCCATGCAAGCAGATGTTTGTTTAGGGTTTGGAAAGGACAATACGCACGAATCTGTT